CATTTGATCGACATACCGAATCTTCGTGCAATTTTATTGACATAGGACTAACCTGATTCTCAAAAACGAGCTTTATACGGTTGCCTTGGTGCACGACAGAAATGAGCTCTACCAATATTTCGGTAACAAAATTTTTTCAAAAACTTCACCTCATTCAATTCAGGATCATCTCTTTTGCTGATTAACCACAGTAGCCAATCGATCTCAGTGGCTGGTATCCATGTACGCAGAAGCCAATAACGTGATCTAAGCCTTCCCGTTTCTACGATCAATTTTCTTCTTAGCGACATAAAAGCCAAGTGAAGATGATCGAACATTATCAGCAGATGAGCATATTCGCCAGCGTACAAATCCTGCAGTGATACACAACAGCTTTCTAAGCTTTGCTTATCCAGAAAATATTTTCAGCAGTGCTGATCTTACCCCTGGTCGTTTTTTCCATCAGCTTTAGCGCTTCTTACTTTTACATAAGGCCTCGTTACGTGTTTTACACATATGCAAATGCAAAAATGCATATTTTGACGATCACGGTATACTGTGAATGTGTGTGTATGTGTGTGTGTCTGCCTGTCTGAGTACTTCAACTCGGAAGCCAAGCAGACTTCGGCTTTAAAATTTTGCCAGTAGGTTTCCCGGCCAAGTAACAACTCAGGGCCACAGTGCCAACCTTCACATACGTTTGGGACCCGCATATGAACACGTGAAAGTTTTGACGGAAAAATTGGGAACTAGAAAAGCGGGGAGGCTGAAATTTTAACGGAATGTTCCCTGCTCAAGTATCACTTAACTGCATAATTAACTTTCCGAACTTCGAGGACCAGTGCGTCACAAATTCTAGCTAGTGGGTTTGCGAGCGATCCCACTACAGCACGAGATACTACAAAAACGCATGACTGCACAGGTGCGTTTCGCTAATGATTTTTATGCTTTTTTAATTGCACAGAAAAGTGGTACTATTCCTGTGCAGTTCAGCGGGGGTTCGACTTCACCAGCGAGACAACCAATCCCTTCACGAATCGCTCATTCGTTTTCGATGGTAAATTGGTACTGGCATATGCAAGGAACTATCGAATTCGTCACCAGCCT